TTTTTCCGTTGCTCTGACTGATGCTGCATCTTGTAGTGACCATTCTGCTGGCGATCCTAACGCTCGTTTCGCCTTTTTAAGAGATTGCCAACTCAGCGCTTCACCGACAGAAGCATTCTGAGACGGATTTAGTTGTTTTGAAATTTCCTTATTATGCCTTGAAAATTCCCGTCTCGTCTCGACAATGTCACTCCTAAACCATTGCGAGACACCGTACGCGCAAGGGAGGGGTACCACACGACATTAGCTGCGGTATATATCCTCTACACATATTAAGGAATCTGTAAATGTGTGTGCCACTTTAACATCCCTTTACCACAGAATTGCTATTATTGAAACCTAGCTGAACTGCCATATACCCAGTCCCTGATAGTATAGTATGAAAACAGTCCAGACCGGAAACTACTAAAATACGACACGGCTTAGCCAAGCGGAGCTCGACCGCGAACATGCACTAAAATCTTATTAATCTGGATTCGGACTGTGAAATTGTTACTGTGAAGAATTAAAGTGAAGGAAAAAGTCAACGAGATGATGGCAAGTCCAGTACTGAATTTTTTTTAAAATATCGTCTTAAAAAAAACACAATTCCTCTAAACAGCATCGTTTTTAATCCGAAAGCGAACCTCACAAAACTGGATATGCTACTGCAATGGTCTTTTCTGGACGTACTTTCATCACATCCTTCAATTACCATGCGTATATGCGCATCGTTGAACGCTAGTATATGATCTAAATAACTGTCATATTCCAAAAATATGAAAAACGAACGAATTTTCATAACCTCAGCTTTCTGAATTGCTGCAACTCGCAGTAAAAGTTAGGTCATTCGCGAAGCATAACTGATTTTGCTGCTCGCTAATGATGCCCATGTGACTTTAAGCGTTTTCATGTATAGAAATGGACACTGCTAACACTGAATGGGGTTTGAAATCCGCAAACTCAAGTGCCGATAATGATGGACTTCCAGCCCTAAAAACTACGAGATAAACCTTAGCTAGGTCAATCTATTAGCAAAAGTAACCATGAGCATGTGGTAGAACAATTGGAAGTAGCGCCTTCCACCGCGGTCCCACTGATACCCCTTCCATCTGGAAACGAAGCAAGATTGAGGCTGCGTCCACAATATCCAGCATCGCTCCACTTTTTGTTCTTTCCGCTATCTCTCTGAATTGGGCCTACGTTAGCTCTCAGTTTGGATATCTTATGCCAGTGATGTTGCTAGAGATCACCATATTAAGCCAAGTGCAATTATGCCAGTCTTTCGATCCTGAGCTGTATACCACCACTTAGTTCTTACCACCTATTCGATTTACGCTTCAGAGGAACCCAACTGGTCATCTACTTACACACAAAGTATAAAAGATGAGGAAATCGCAATACTGCTAAGATATGGCTAGTCTACTTACAACGGTACATTTACTGACGTGGGTGGGGAAATTATAAGATTTCAGCGGATGGAAAAGTTTCCAACTGCATAAGTAAAGATCTGATCATAACTTTGCGGCTGTTACGGGTTTTTCAGGCACCACTGAGTACAGAAACTTATTGCAACACTTGAAGAACGCCTGTATTTGTCCGCATGGAAGGGCAAAAGCTTCGCCACAAGCCTATGTGAGGATACAGTGGGTACGAATAGTTTGTCTGTCTGTTTGTATATTGCTAAATTCTGGAATAAATCATTTTTGAAAAGATTTTTGCTTGATGGCAGACCTGTCAAAATAAGCCAGTGCTTCATCATATTTTCCAAGTTCGATGTAGTAGAGGGCAGTGTGCCAATAATTGTGGCATGCAAGCATGAAGCAGCTCTAAAAGTGATTTTCGCTCATAAAAACTTGATTCATAAGACTTTTTGGATTAGAAAAGTTCCCTAGACATCTGATAGTTATCTGTAAAAAATCTCTGGGAAATTTATTAAAAAATTATTTTTGAAGAACTTTAGAAATTTTTTTGAGAAATTTCTCGTAGCAAAAAAAA